CTGGGGTGGAATGTAGCGGACATTTGATCTCTGTGTTAATTAAAATCAAGCTGCCAAAAAAGTGTGGGAGGAAAATCAATATTGTTGAAGCCAAGAAATGTCATGTGAGTGGGCTTTAAAGGTGCTATGCCCAAATTGCAGCATGAATTCTGCTGGTCATAGAATCATAGAGTTGGAATAGACCACAAGGGCCATCGAGTCCAACCCCCTGCCAAGCAGGAAACACCATCAGAGCACTCCTGACATATGGTTGTCAAGCCTCTGCTTAAAGACCTCCAAAGAAGGAGACTCCACCACACTCCTTGGCAGCAAATTCCACTGTCGAACAGCTCTTACTGTCAGGAAGTTCTTCCTAATGTTTAGGTGGAATCTTCTTTCTTGTAGTTTGGATCCATTGCTCTGTGTCCGCTTCTCTGGAGCAGCAGAAAGCAACCTTTCTCCCTCCTCTATATGACATCCTTTTATATATTTGAACATGGCTATCATATCACCCCTTAACCTCCTCTTCTCCAGGCTAAACATGCCCAGCTCCCTTAGCCGTTCCTGATAAGGCATCGTTTCCAGGCCTTTGACCATTTTGGTTGCCCTCCTCTGGACACGTTCCAGTTTGTCAGTGTCCTTCTTGAACTGTGGTGCCCAGAACTGGACACAGTACTCCAGGTGAGGTCTGACCAGAGCAGAATACAGTGGCACTATTACTTCCCTTGATCTAGATGCTATACTCCTATTGATGCAGCCCAGAATTGCATTGGCTTTTTTAGCTGCCGCGTCACACTGTTGGCTCATGTCAAGTTTGTGGTCAACCAAGACTCCTAGATCCTTTTCACATGTACTGCTCTCACATGTACTGGTGTTGAAAGGGAATGAAAAAGACACATGCATTTCCCTGCAAGTCTTTGCCACTAGCTGACTTCCTGCAATTCTCCCCTGCTGCTAAAGCCCATCTGCCTTGAAAGCATCTCCTGCAAATCCTAATAGAGGTACCACACATCTCCTTGATGGGAACTGAGATGTCTTAGCCACAAGTGTGCGCCAGAGAGCTAGCATGGAGACAGATGGGCCCTCATTTGCCTTGTGCTTGATGATGATTTTGCATTGAAATCTGTACATACAAGATGTGCCCCTGTTCTCCTTACCCTGGTTTGATGCCGTGCTGATCTAGCAAGATTAGCACAACACACACACACACAAACCCTTTTCCTTTCTGATCAGCTTGGCTTTTATTGATCTGCGTCTGGAAACTCTGCAGCCCCAGGGGGATAGATCAGCAACACTGGCCCATGACGTATGTGGATGTCTCTAGACATATATCTGGGAGCAAGTAGAGCGCTGAGCCTGTCCCACAGAGCAGGATGCACCTGTACAATAAATGCTCTTCTTGGGAGGTGAAGGATGAATCAAGAAGAGGTTGAACGAGGTCCTGGGAGTTTATCTGGAGGTTATGCTTAGATGAGCGTAAGCAAAACAGTATTCCTTCATGGGAATAAGCCACAGGGTCACACGCCTATCTAGTAGGCCTTGCTAGCTGCAGCAACTAGCAGCTACTCCTTTTATTTTACAATTCGCACCCTTTAAAAACTAGCTTCAGAAACTAATTCCTACTGGCTAAGCAGGCACAGCTGCAGAGACCTGTTTGAAATGTTGGCAACTGGCACGAGCCACATTTTTGTGTGTTGTGGAAGCAGAACATTTTTTTTGGGGGGGGGGGGTTGGAGGAGATAAAAGCAGAATGGCACAACACTGCATATATACGAGAAGCCCCTCTTGTTGTCTTTATTTACTGCGTAGTTCTCTAAAATACCATTATTCCACTGAAGCTGAAATCCACACCCATCCAATTTATCATTGGGAATAAGCTGTGTTTGCCAAGAGGGAAATGATTTTCAGCTGGCTGCAGCTGTTTATCCATGAAGTCCGGTTGGGGCAAAAGTCAAAGTAAAACAAAGTCCTGGCAGGTGAAAGATGGCTCAGTGTTGTGATCAAGTGGGCAATCTGGTTTTTCAGCCTTGAAACAGGAAAGGCTTGTTAGGCTGCTGGGCTTATGGGAAGCAACAGCATCAATAAAGGATATTTTTTATCATGTGCCAACATTCCCCGCACTACACCAGGACCGGTTAACACTGGCCTCTTTGTTGCCTTGCATGCGTGAATGGACTATTGGATTCAGTCTCACCGACAGAATAAAATCTTCACCTGCCCTTATAACAGTGGCTTTGAAGGCTTAGCATCTCCCTGTGTTGGAGTGGGCTCTGCAAGTCGCTAGTCCTCATGGAAAACAGAGAAAAAGGGCAGGGAGGAGGCAGGATTCAAGTGAGAGGCCTGCTTGTTCTGAAGGGGTAGGGGTAACGCCTGATAGCTTGTGACATAACCACCCTGAGACCTCCGGGTATAGGGCAGTGTATAAATTTAAATAATAATAATAATAAATAATGAAAGGTGGGGTCCCATCTTCCTGCCTAGGTTAGTTCCACAAAGTCATGCTCACTTCCTGCCTCTCCACTTCTTTCCTGTTGTCTTGAAGACTGTAAACCTGGTGAAGAGAACACAGAAGCCAATCTACTGATCTTTAAGAAAATACTCTAAATCCACAGTACAGCAAAGTTGTTAGTAGGCTAACCAAAATATCACAGAGTAATTGGCAAGCTTTCAGGTACTCTATAGCTCATCAGATTAATGGTTAAAACAATGCATAGATGTTTGTGTGCCGGGGGAAGTTTGACTTATGTCATGGAGTCCTAGGGGGGTCGTTCCATGCCAAATCACCTGGTGCCGTGTGCTCTCATGACAAAGATTTTCTTTAAAAAAAATTATGTGTAGATACCTATGGTAAAGGTAAAGGGACCCCTGACCATTAGGTCCAGTCGTGATCGACTCTGGGGTTGCGACGTTCATCTCGCTTTACTGGCCGAGGGAGCCGGCGTACAGCTCATGTGGTCAGCATGACGAAGCCGCTTCTGGCGAACCAGAGCAGCGCATGGAAACGCCCTTTACCTTCCCGCCGGAGTGGTACCTATTTATCTACTTGCACTTTGACGTGCTTTTGAACTGCTAGGTTGGCAGGAGCAGGGACTGAGCAACGGGAGCTCATAACCTCAAATTAATTTTAAAAGATTTTTTTGGTCCAAAATTGGGCGCAGGAGAATGTTTAAAAAATTTCAATTTTCGCGTGATTTAGACTAATGCAATTTCTGTGTCAGTTTCAAAAACACACACCCTGTTTCGCTTATTTTTCAACCAATTGGGCTGATTTGGGTATCGAAATAAAGCTAATTGTGGTCTCTTTCAAAATAAGGTATAAAAATGGTATTAAGTGCCACAGAAAAGGGTCACTGACCAAAGTGAATTTTTGTCATTTTATTCCTAGTAGGTTCAATAAGCCATAGCACACAAACCACAACTAATACATGTATCATACTTTTTTTTGTAGATTGGGCTAACCATGTACTTGTTATGTTTTAAAAATAAGGAGGGTGTTTTTTGTGCTTATAAAATAACCACATAAATTTCTTGGGAGGAAAATCTGAGTCGTGAGAGCACGGCCAAGTATTAAAATCAGGTGATTTGGCGTGGAATGACCCAGGGTGGTATTCTGCTGTTTTACTCAGTAGTAAGCCTGTTTAAATTAATGGGCCTCCTGTGAATTAGTTTCAATGGCTCTATTTTGGGTACCACCCAGTTGACTACCACCCAGAGTCTCAAGATGGAGTATGGAGGGAGGTAGAAGACAATTAACTAAATTAGGGTCTGTTAGGGGGCTATGTGAGTTTCAGGTGCATAGAATCCTAGAAGTGTAGAGTTGGAAGGGACCATGGGGGTCATCTAGCCCAACCCCCTGCAATGCAGGAATCTTTTTGCCCAATGTGGGGCTGGAACCCCAAAGACTGCTGCTACACAGAGACTGCCTTGCATTGGTAACAAGGTCTGCAGCACACCTGGCGTTTGTAACTGAGGTAAACAGAAAATTCAATCCCCGGTGTCTTCAGTTAGGGCTAGGATTACTCCCTGGGTGATATCCTGGAGAGCTACGGTCAGCCAAGGCTGACCACAGGCGGGGAAACCTCAGGCTGGGGCTAAATGATGCTTCCTGAGTCACATGCAGGTCACACCGACCCTATACCTTCCTTGAGTCCTTTCCTCCTGGCTGGACAGTGAACTTACCTGGTGTTTTCTGGAGAATAGAGGGTGTGTGTGTGTAGAAACTAGTCTACTGCACCAAGGTAACGCTTCCACCACATACATTCATTTGCACTTTAACGCCGCCCAGCCCTGGCATGCGGCCCGCGGGAGGTCGCAGAGACGGGAATGTGGCCCTCGCTCTGAAGCGCCACCAGCAACCCTCCCTTTGTAGACAATGCCGAGCTAGACGGAGCAGGCATCTGATTCACCAGAAGGCTGCTAGTGTTCCCCAGCAGCGCTCTCACCTCGGCCAAGATTCCCAGCTGCCCCGTTTCTCCTCTCAACCTCCAAATCCTCACGAAGGCGCGATCTCCTCCTCGCCACCGCCTCCTCGACGTTTCTTTATTGTTAAACATCAGCTCGGCTTCCCCCTGGCCGCTTTAGCTTTGGAAAACAATAGCAGCTTTTGATTTCGTCAACCCCACCCCCACCCCCTTAGAAATCCCCGTTTTCCTTCTTTAGGAGTAATACCCATCGCTTCGCCTCTTTTCTTTTTCTCTGCTGGCTGCTCCAAATCTTTCATTTTTACATTTTTTTTGCCTGCGGCAGAAAGCTCAAGAGCAACAAAAGAAAGAGAAAAGCGGAGAGACGAAGTGACCAAGCCCACCCCTCTCCTGTTCCCTTTCTAGGTGGGTGGGTGGGTGTGATTTGTGGGTGAATGCGCACGAGAAAAAGAGATCAATCTTATTTTGGCTTGGGCGCGCAGGAACCCGGCAGAGCCTTCGCGCGTCGTAGCCAGACGCCGCCGCCGCCGCCACACCCACTTCTGTCCCCCTCCCCCTTTTCCTTACGCTGCTTTCCAGCCTCGAGGATCCCAACCCCTCCCTTCTCTCCCCTTCCCAGACTCGCAACCTACAAGGAGAGGATCGGGCGGGTTGCCGCTCTGTCGGGGCGCCGCTGCGCTTTGCACAGCTTTTGGCAAAGCCAGCCGGGCAGCACATGCGAGCTGCGCTCTGCTCTCTCTCTCTCTCTCTCTCTCTCTCTCGGATCTCCCTCCCTCTTTAGAAATCGCGGGGGGAGGCGGCGGAGGCTTTGCAAGGCCGGACGAACCATGGGGGGGCCCGTGGGCTTGCCCGCCCTCCCTCCTCCTTGCAGCCCCCACCCCTTTCCTCGGCGTCTTTAAGCAGCGGCGGCAGAAGGAGGAGGAGAAGGAACGGCGCGCCCGGGCGCATCGGCGAGGAAGAGGAACGCGCTGCTGCTGCTGTTGGCGGCGGCGCCCTGGCCATGGGGCGCTTCTTCGCTCCCGGAGGATGAGGTGGAGGTCGGGACTGCGGCTCCTGCGGCGCCGGGAGTTGCCCGCTGGCTCCCGATGAGCGACTGGAAGGCGGGGAAACGGCATCGGAGGATGGCGGCCGGTCTCCTGGCGTGCAAAGGCCCCCGCACCCGGCTGCCGGTGGGCGCCAGCGCCCTGGGCTTCTTTGTCCTCTGCTGGCTGTACATCTTCCCCGTCTACCGGCTGCCGGACGAGAAGGAGGTCGTGCAGGGAGTCCTGCTGCAGCAAGGCAGAGCCTGGCGGAGGAACCGCAGCGCCGTGGCCGGATTCAGGTGAGTGAGTGCCAGCCGGGCACCCCTGGCGGGCTGCGCAGCTGGGCAGCCCAAGGGCACACGGGGACACCCAGCAGCAGGGAAGGGCGCGCTTGCCTCTCCTTCGCAGGAGGCCGGGGCTAGCCCTCGGGATGAATCCTGCCTCCTCTTTCTTTATTGATAAGAAGAAATTAAAAACTTGATGGAGCGTAGGACATTTCCCCCTGCAGAGCTTTCCTTCCAGCTTCCCTCCTGGCTTCAGTAGATACTGATTTCCAAACAGGCAAGGGTGCGTCAGTTTTTGGATAGGGTGGCTTTATTTTTACATCGCCATTATTGGAGACCCTCTTCCCCCCAAAACAGTAACCCCGAGCTAATTCGTCGGCATAAGAAGCGAAGTCAAGTTGTGACACTGCAGCTTTGCAGAACGAACTCCCGCAGGATGGCAGCCTGAGCGGATGGAAATGATGGGCTTATCTGTATCAGAGCGAGAGATAAAGCATGTGACCTTTTCTAAATACTCTGCAGGCTGCAATCCTGTGCGGGAGAGGTAGTTTTCAAAGCGTTGAAAAGGACATGCCGGACAAGTTTGCTCCTGAAGCCTTGTGGCAGGATGCCGTTGGCTGCTAGAATGCTGTTATTTACAAAGCAAAGATATTAAAGCCATAAAGAGCAGAATGTGCTGCTGTGCTGTCAATCAAAGGGTGCTGCAAGGGTGCCAGGCAGGCCACCTTGGCGGCACAGCACCCTTTGATTACACATCAGAGCAGCTGGAGAAGACAGGCCGAAATATTTTGCCTTGAGACTGCAATCCCTCTCTTTTGTTTGCTGCTGTCATCTTCCTGTATTGCCCTTGTGCCAAGTCTGAATAACGGAGATACAAAGAGTACTATTGGAGATTTTGTTTTTTGCTGGGGGGTGCGTGGGTGGGCGCAAGAGGAAGGGAAAGCTGGTTGCAAGAATTTCCGATCTTTTCTGTCTGGCCTACAATTGTGTGGCTGGTTTCCGCCCGCCACGTGCTGCCTTCGCAAGCTAGATGCAAAGATTATTTCTGCCCCCGCCTTTATTTCCCTGACCTCTGGTTCATATTTATTGAATGCACGAACCCTGGACTCCCGGGTTGTGGTGCAACACTCGATAACGGTTATACCGCACTGGAGCTTGGATACGCCTTCTTCTTCAATACACCTCCCTTCTTTTGTTCTCTCTCCCCTCCTCCTTTCTTGTCTGTGTTACTGTCTCTACATGTACATTTTCTTACTTGGGACCCACCTCTGAAGTTTGCCACATTCAGTATTGGCAAAACTGCAGGGATTACCTCCCTGTCTGCTGCCCCGGTTGTGTGAAAGTGGCAGAGAATTGCTGGGGAAGGGGGAGGTTGAAGTGTAACGGTCTTGCTTGTGTTTTGGGCAGAGGGTTTGGCCAGGGGACAGATGGGGTTTTGGAGTTTCACAATGCTGCCCTCCTTCACCTTTTTCAGTAATTCATAAAATATACGTTGTTGGATTTATCTTCTAGCCACCCCCACAACTCATGGTCCGTATAAACAATAGCACATTGTCTATATCGAAATACGTTTATCCCTATAAATGTATAGGGTGGCGCTGAGGTCTAAACCACTGAGCCTCTTGGGCTTGCTAATCGGAAGGTCGGCGGTTCAAATCCCTGCAACAGAGTGAGCTCCCATTGCTCTGTCCCAGCTCCTGCCAACCTAGCAGTTTGAAAGCACGCAAGTAGATCAGTAGGTACCGCTGTGGCAGCAGGGTAAACGGTGTTTCCGTGCGCTGCTCTGGTTTCGGTGTCCCGTTGCGCCAGAAGCGGTTTGGTCATGTTGGCCACATGACCCGAAAAGCTGTCTGTGGACAAACACCGGCTCCCTTGGCCTGAAAGCGAGATGAGCGCTGCAACCCCATAGTCACCTTTGACTGGGCTTAACCATCCAGGGGTCTTTACCTTTACCTTTTACATTTATCCCTATATCTAAATACATATCTGCATTTATCATCCCATTTCTAATTCATTTATCCCTATATCTTTTTTGATATTTTTTTTTATTGAAAGATTTTCCATAAGTAATAAAAGTGCCTTCAATGTCTCTGTTAGCATTTCCCTTGACTCCTGCTTCTCTCCACATTATTCACTCCCTCCTCCCCAGAGAGTAGTCTTTCTCTCCCCACACCCCAGAGGAAATAACAGTCCTGAGCTGATTCAAGTCTATTTTGTTTTCCTTTCATTTCTGTTTCCTCTGCAATTGCCCTCCTCCAGATGTTTCTGGAAGATCTCTCTCCCCTGCTCCACATGCCTCCAACCCAACCTCAATACATCAGATTTGTGATTTTTAATCTCCTGTGTCCAGTCCTCACCTTTGCCACAGATTCTTCCTATTCAGCCTTTGGCCGTGCAGGATCACTCTGTAAAAAGGGCACAAGAACAGCAGTGCAAACTATAAAGCAAATGTGCTTAACTTATAAAGCAGGCAAAAAGGTAAAGGTCCAGTCGTGACCAACTCTGGGGTTGCGGCACTCATCTCGCTTTATTGGCCAAGGGAACCGGCGTACAGCTTTCAGGTCACGTGGCCAGCATGACTAAGCCGCTTCTGGCGAACCAGAGGAGCGCACGGAAACGCCGTTTACTTTCCCACTGGAGCGGTACCTATTGATCTACTTGCACTTTGACATGCTTTCGAACTGCTAGGTTGGCAGGAGCAGGGACCGAGCAACGGGAGCTCACCCCGCTGCAGGGATTCGAACCACCGACCTTCTGATCGGCAAGTCCTAGGCTCTGTGGTTTAACCCACAGCGCCACCCGCATCCCTATAAAGCAAGTACGTTGCATTAATTAGGAACGGACCATCGCCCCATGTGTTTTCAATTAAAGTGAAAGCTGTCATGATCCTTTGAATAGAGGCACCAGGATTCCTGACCCATCTTTGCCACAGAGTCATTCTGCGGCCTGAGGCGAGTCACATTCTCACTCCCACTCTCATCCTCAGTTCCCTTACCTGTAAAATGGGAGCAATAGAGAACACCATAGGATTCTTATGGGGTGGGCCCATTTTAAAACAACAACAAAGCAATGAAGTGCTTTGCAAGCAGTGTTTTACAAGAACATTCCATGTTCACACCCTGTAGTCCATCCACAAGGCAGGCCCCCAAACATTCCCATTTTACAGATGAGAAACTGAGGCCGGCATAAAAACGTGTCTTGCCAGAGGCTGCGCAATTAGACAGCTGAGAAAGCTGAACCCTCTCCATGTGAATAAGAATGACTACATTGGCTCCGGCATATGTTTGTCAGAGTCACTGGGAAGAAAATCAACAATTTAGGGCTGAGCAAAACAGGCCCAGAGAACAGATCCAACTCTTTTTTCCCCCCAAGGCCCTTGGAATTGGCTGAGCAAAACCATGAGCTGATCAGTTCAAGGCTTGCCTTTCCCTTCTTTATTAAGAAAAACTCCTGGAGCAATGGGGAGGTGCTTAATGTCAGCCGTGGGGAAAGGCTGGAGGGGAGGACTGGGAAAAACATGTTCCCTGCTTGACACACTGACCAGTGTGCTCTTGGAGCATGGCCAGCCAGCACCTGTCTCCCTGCTCCACGGAAGCCTTGGCTTGGATGAATGTCCATGCAGTCTGCATTGCGTGGCCTGCCTTTTGCCGTTTACTCTGTTGCTTGGAGCCGAGCCAAGGTTCCCTCACTCCCTCCTGGGCCACCAGCCAATCCCACAGAGATGGGACGAGGGGATAGGTGAACCCTCACCCAGCTCAAAATCTTCCATCTAAGGGTCAGAGAGCTGTGCTCAAATGGGCACAAACTGCCCCAAAGTCCAGGTTTCTCACATGCACGATATTGTTAATATTGGAGGACAAGGGATCACCGTTGGAGATGAGCGCAGATCCTATTGCTGGGGCTTTATCGCCTCTCTTGGCTCGGACACACTTGGAGTCCGAAGGGTTTTCGTGGTCAAATCACGGCTGAGGAATGGATCCAGTACCAAGATACGTTAGGCATGGAGCTGGTTGTTGCTGGTGGTATTTGCACTCCTGCCTGACTACGAAGGCGAGAGGGTTGACACCCCCCATGTAGCAGAAGGTTTTCACGCAAAATGGGCCCGGTTCAACTCACATCATCTCCTGGCAGGGCTGGGAAAGACTCTCTGGAGGGCTGCTAGATGGACTAATGGCTTGACTCTATATAATTTCCTATGAGATAGACTGCTTGTGGCTATGGAGGGTCCATTTAGCTATCAGGGCTAAAAACCATCGAGACCCCTGTGAATGTGTTCAGTCTTTTTTAAAAAGCTAGTAAACTAGAATCTTCCGTAAAGAATTAATAGACTCTTTCCATTTATTATCATGTATTCATACTCTGAGCTAGTAAACTAGAGTCTTTAAAAAATAATAATCTTTTTTATTATGTACTCCAAGCTAGTAAAATAGAATCTTTTTAAAAATAATTAATAAAATCTTTTAATTTTTTTATTGTGTACTTATACTCCAAGCTAGTTAACTAGGATCCTTTAAAAAGAATTAATAAAACCTTTTAATTTTTTTTATTACACATTCATACTCCAGGCTAGTAAACATGAATCTTTTAAAAAAGAATTAATAAAATCTTTAAATTTTTCATTGCATACTTGCACTCCGTCTTTTCACAAGCCCACTCTTCAGAGGGTATGTGATGCTGCTGGAAAGCTTTCCATAGGCAACTGTTGGACTAATTGGGACTTTGGCCTGTTTCAGCAGGGCTCTTGGTATGTTCTTTTGCAATACTGGTACCAAATTTACACCTTAAATGTACACGGGAGAATCCACTAAAGTAACAGCACTAAGATCCTACTGACTTGAGCAAACTCAAGCTTCCATCTATATGTGGCAGAGAAGTTTCACCTATATAAATCTGGCACTGTGTTAAATAGACTCAGGGTTTTTACTGAGGGCCTGCCGGCGATCAGTTTTACACTGTTATTCGCAAAAGGGACTGCACTGGTTTTTCGCCCGCTTTCTGTTGGAACATTGATATCT